CCCCTTCCCTCCCACCCCTCCCCTCCACCTTATCCTCCCCTCCACCTCTACTCCCTTCCCAGCACCCTCTACCTCTCCCCCACCTCCCCCTCGCCCTTCTCCCCTTCCCCACTTCCCTACTCTCTTCTCCCCTCCTGCCCCCTCCCTCCCGCAGGAGAAACGCGCCAGCGGCGAGTTTTGCTTGGAAAACCCTAGAGCCAAGGTTTCCATTTCCCACTCGGGTGAGGGTTTCTGCAGGCGGTTGTTACTCTTCCCTTGACACTGTGGCAGGTGCGTGCCAAGTCATTCTGCTGGAAATGACGGCGTTTTGAGGTCCCTTATCGGTTTGAGGAATGTCCCAAATCCTGAGGAGAGCGATGCCCGAAAGAACCCCTCCTTGAGGTCTGACGTCGAGGTGGGGGCCTGAGGAAGCTGTGCCGGCGGCGCGGTCACACAACCTCCTTGATTTCTCTGTGAGCCCAAGTGGTCCTGGGACCTGAGCCTGAGAACAGCCATCAACAACCCCAGGGGGGAGGGGAGGGAAGGGGAGGGGAGGGAGGTGGCAGGTCCTCCAACCCAACTGTGGGAGGAAAAAACCCTCTTTCATGCAGCATTAACAATTTGACTCTTAAGCACCTTTCTTTAAGTGGTGGTCTCTAGAAATTTCCAAAGAAGCCAGTAGATGGCAGTTCCTCGTTTGCATTTGGTTTGCATAATAACTATGATCTATGATCTCAAAGTACATTTTTCTCAAACCATGAATCTTTGCTTTCCCCCAGGACTCTCTCTCCTTTCCTGCCAGACTATGTTCTCAGCTCCCTCCTCTGCAATCCCCTTCAGGTATCCAGGGTCTAAGGCAGTGGTTCTCAACCTTCCTAATGCCGCGACCCTTTCATACAGTTCCTCATGCATAGTGATTCATCACAAAACAATATGTAATTACATATGTGTTTTCCGATGGTCTTAGGCGACCCCTGTGAAAGGGTCATTTGACCCCCAAAGGGGTCGCGACCCACAGGCTGAGAACCCCTGGAAGGGCTCCCAACCTCCTTCAGATGCTCAGGACTTCCCAGCCAGGGTCCCCACGGAAACATCTGCCAACCTTCCCTTCCCTGGCCTCAAGGAAATACTTGCTAAAGTGCTACCATTATTCTGTTTGGGATTCACCAGCGTTAAAAAAACAAAACAAAACAAAACACAGGTGTCAGAGAGGCCTTTTAAAAATGTCCTCATTATTATGAAACTGCAACAAACTCAACACAATCCTTAGAGTCGTAGAGTAGTAGAACTAAAGGACTCCAGCGCTCAGTGAGAGGATAAGTGCTGGAAAGGGAATTTGAATGCCCAAAGGAAGTCCTACAGAGGGGAGAAAGCAATTAAAAACCGAGTTCACAATTCAGAGGATTTATTGGGAAATGCTTTGTCCTCATGTAAGATGAAATCTGGGCAAATGCAAAGGACCCTTCATTGCAGGCAACCCTGAGTGAACCAATGGGAGGGGTTCACTCAAGTTCCTCTTGAGCCTGCTGCTGAGGTTGCTTCTGGCTCAAAACAATCTGCACACAGAGGCACATCTTGGGGTGACTGGTTCTGAACCTCCACATGAGTGCAGGTTGGGGGCTCAAGGGGGGGGGCATGACAATGTTCGCAGTGCAAGATCAAATCTATGCCAGGAGTGTGAGAGCCGGGCTGAAAAGAAGAGGGCAGATACAACAGATAGTTAGGAAGTCAGATCAGTAATAGATGATAATGTATTGAATGCAGGGAATCGGGGAGCGGAGGGAATCTAGAATGACTCCCCACCTTAGGAATTGGTGGCAGGTGATGCCATTCACTAAGCGAGGGACTGCGGTAAAGCAGAGACCAGGTGGTGGGGGAGAAATCGTGAGTTTAATTGTGGACATGTGGGGTTTGTGGCACCTACAGTATGTTTAGGGGAGGGTGTCTAGTAGACAGTGGATTTATGAAACTAAACTCAAAGTGGAAGGGTGGACAGGGGATATCAGTTTTGGACTCTTCACATTATAGGTGGTCAGCAAAGTTACGGGCACAGGCGAGATCACCCAGGAGGGCAGATAGAGGAAGGAAGAGGCCTGCAAAGGAAATCAAGAAAGCTAAGAACTGTATGACTTCGCTCATATCTGGATATAAAACTGAAACTTGTGAACACAGACAGCAGTGTGGTGATTGCCAGAGGGAAGGGGGTGGGAAGTAGAGGGGGGTCCTAGAATAAGGTGACAGGAGACAAATTGACTCTGGGTGGTGGGCACACAGTGCACTATACAGATCTTGTAACATGGAAACCCACACCTGAAACCTATATGTTCATGTTGAACAATGTCACCCCATCAATTTAATAAATACATATTTAAAAAATAATAATAAATCAAGGATATACACCGAGGTTGATAGAAAAACAGAGACCACAGCGTGTCAGAAAGGAGGGTGGGGGAAGTATCAGGAAAGAGGCTGGAACAGAGGCGCAGCAGGAACTGTCAGGAGGACAGGGCTGAGGAGGGCCCTTTGGATTGGCAAGGCAGTCCCAGGCCCAGTGGTGGGAAAACAGTCATCATTACACCAGGCTCCAAGGGGTTAAGGAGCAAAAGAGACACGTGAATCTAGACCACCCTTTTCCAGAAACTGGGCGATCCACGGGAAGGAGAAATGTGAGGCAGTGGATGGGGGAAGGCAGAATCAAAGGGAAGAGTTTTGTTGCCTGATTTGTTGTTGTTGTTTTTTTCAGATGGGAAAGGCTTAATCATGCTCATATGCTGAGGGGGAAACAAAGGAGATGGAGAGATGATTAATGAAAAATGCCCCAGAGGAATTGGGATCCAGGCACCGGAGGGTGGAGTTGCCTGTGCTGTTTTTGGGAGGAAGAATGCATTTGTGGTAGACCTAGAGGTTAGAAGTTGAGAGAAGCAGTTGCCACCTGACAGCCTCTAAGTCACCTCCTGGGAGAGAAGGGGTCAAGATGGGACTGAGCATTAAGGAAAGTGGTTAAGGTTAAAAGAGCCACTAAAAGGAATGAGTGGTAGCTTGTTAGAGGAGTGGAATTGTCGGCAGAGCTGAGGATATGGCTGGGATGGGATATGTAGTGGTTTCAATATGAATATTTTTATCATTTTCTTCTGCAGATCTGGAAAGTCAAAGTGTAGAACATTAAATCAGGGTTGGGGGTTGCAGAATAAGTACATTTGTAGGATAAAGGGGAAAGAGGGCTCCTGACAAAAGAGGAGATGCCCAAGGAGGGACATGAAGCTGAGGAAAAGTTATTAACGTCAAAGGGGGAGTTAGAAGCCCGGGGCCACCACAAGTGTTGCTCCCTCCAACCTTCTCTCCAACACCCCAGCCAGAGTGATGTTTCTAAAGCAAACACCTGCTTCCTTGCTGAAAATCTGCTAACATATAGCTCCATAAAGGCAGGGAATTTTTACTTTGGCTTTTAAACTTCTTTAAACTTTCTTAGAGCCTCGCACAGTGCCTGGCACATGGCACGTGCTCAATAAAATTTGTCTACTGGGAAGCTCCATAGAGCTCTTAGCTAACAGGCAAACTTCTTAAGAAAGGCAACAAGGCCTCTCACAATCTGTCCCTTGCTTCTCACTCTGGACTACTGATCTCCCTGCAGTTCCAGGAATATACACTATTCTCACCAAGGGGCCTCCTACTGTCTTTTCCCACCACCTGGAAAGGGCCTCCCACCGCCAGTCGCCACCGCTATCACCCTGCGTGGCTGTGTTTCTACATGGCAGGCAGAAGAATGGCCTCCCAGAGGAGGAAATGTCTGCTTCCCGCTCCCTGGAACCTGTGCCTGTTATCTTAGGCAGTGAAAGGATTGTGCAGATGTGATTAAGATAAGGACCTTCAGATGGAAGGTTAGCCAGGATTACCCGGGTGAGCCCAATCTAATCACATGGGTCCTTAAACGCAGAATCCTAGTACCTTTGCCAGTTGAAGTCAAAGGGAGAGGTGATGTGCTGGCCGGGTGGCTCAGTTGGTTATAGCGTCTCCCTGTGCACCAAAGGGTTGCAGGTTTGATTACGTGTCAGGGCACAAACCTAGGTTGTGGGTTCAATCCCTAGTCAGAATATGTGCAAGAAGCAACCGGTTGATGTTTCTCTTTCTCTCTCTCTCCTTATTTTAAAAAAAAATCAATCGATTGGTTACGCAGGAGGTAACCAATCAATGTTTCTCTCAGATTGATGTTTCTGTCTTTCCCTCTCTCTAAAAATCAATGGAAAAATATCTTCGGGTGAGGATTAAAAAGGGGGGCGGGAGGAGATGTGATGATGGAAGAATGGTAAGAGAGATACAGCACTACTGGCTTTAAAGTTGGACAATGGAGGTCCTGAGCCAAGGAAAGTGAGCTGTTTGTAGAAACAGATTCTCCCCTGGAGCCTTCAGAAAGGATCGCAGTCTGCTGGCATCTTGATTTTAGCCCATGGGGGCCCATGCTGGGCTTCTGAAGCTGTAAGATAAGCTGTGTTGTTTTCACCCACTAAACTTTCAGTTATTTGTTACAGCAGCAATAGCGAACTAATACACCCTGCAACTAGTTTTCCAGGAAGCTTCCCCAGAGTGCCTTCTAAGGATGCCTACCCACACCCGGTAGCTGCCTGGATTGTAGCACTAATCACAGCATTGTAATTGTTTGCATTTGTCCGAATTGGGGAGGGCATGGAAGAGGGGGGTAACTAGTCTATAAGCTCCTTCAGGACTAGGACATCTCTGTTGGGTTTACCTTTTAATTGCTAGGCCTACTTCATCGCCTGATGCAAAGTTGGTGCTCAGTAAGGACTAGGTGAATGAGTGAATGAATGAAGGTTTAACATTTACACCCGAGAGTGACCTGGCTAGACAATGGGGCACTTGAGCATTTATGACTCTGGGGGTAATAACAAGAAGTAGGTTATTATGAGGGAGCAAGTGGTTGGAATGAGAGGGACCGGAAGGTGATTGAATCCATTTACTGTGTTGTGTTCTCTCAGGGCTCTGCTGTGGGCTAGGGCTAATCTGTAAAACAAATTTGAGCTAAATTTGAAAAAGGCAATGTTTGTACCATTTTCACTTTAAAATGCTTCAGTAGACTTTCTTCAAAAAGATTTAAGTGTCTTTGAAAGATGAATGGAGCCTTAGCCAGTTTTCTCAGTGGGTAGAGCATTGGCTTGTGGACTGAAGGGTCCTGGGTTCAATTCTGGTCAAGGGCACATGCCCAGGTTTCGGGCTCAATCCCTAGTGGGGGGTGTGCAGGAGGCAGCCGATCAATGATTCTCTCTCATCATTGATGTTTCTATCTCTCTCTCCCTCTTCCTTCCTCTTTGAAATCAATAAAAATATTTATTTTAAAAAAGGAAAGAAAGATGAATGGATATTGGAGATGAGGTTAGGGTGCTCTGTGAATATTTGGTGGTTAGGTTGTTTTCTTCGGTTTCATTGACATCAGTCTCTCTGCTTTCTCCCCTATATCTTTTCGGTGACCCAGCATTTTTGAGGGCTGATGCCAGTATCTGAGTTTTTCTTTTTCTTTTTTAAAAATCCTCACCTGAGGATAAGTGTATTGATTTTAGAGAGAGGAAGAGAGAGAAAAACATTGACTGGTTGGTTCCCATACACACCCCGACCTGGGGTCAAACTTGCAACCCATGCCATTATGGTTAATTAATCTTTAGCAAAGGAGGCAAGAGCATACAATGGAGTAAAGACAGTCTCTTCAATACATAGTGTTGGGAAAATTGGACAGGTAACACACACAAAAAAGAAAAGAAATGAAACTAGCTCACCAACTTACACCATACACAAGAATAAACTAAAAATGGATGAAAGACTTAAATGTAAGTCGAAAAAACCATAAAAATCTTACAAGAAAACATAGGCAATAAAATCTCAGACATCTCATGTAGGAGTATTTTCGCAGATACATCTCCCAGGGCAAGGGAAACAAAGGAAAAAGTAAACAAATGGGACTACATCAAACTAAAAAGCTTTTGCCCAGCAAAAGAAACCATCAACAAAACGAAAAGGGAACGCCCTACAATGAGGTATCACCTCACACCTGCCAGCATGGCTACCATCAATAAATCAACAGTGCTCGCTTCAGCAGCACATATACTAAAAATTGGAACGATACACAGAAGATTATCATGGCCTCTGCGCAAAGATGACGTGCAAATTCGTGAAGCGTTCCATATTTAAAAAATAAGTCAATCAACAAACAAGTGCTAATGAGGATGTGGAGAAAGGGGAACCCTAGCACACTGCTGGTGGGAATGCAGTCCGGTGCAGCCACTGTAGAAAGAGTATGGAGTTTCCTCAAAACTTAAAAATGGAACTGCCATTTGACCCAGGGATCCCACTTATGGGAATATATCCTTAGAATCCACAAACACCAATCAGAAAGAATGTATGCACCCCTATGTTCATGGCAGCACGATTTACAATAGCTAAGACCTGGAAACAGCCAAGTGCCCATCAGTAGATGAGTGGATAAAAAAAAAAAGCTGTGGTATAGTTGCACAATGGAATACTATGGGGCTGTAAAAAAGAAGGAACTCTTACCCTTTGCGCCAGCATGGATGGACCTGGAGCTTAGTATGCTAAGTGAAATAAGCCAATCAGAGAAAGATAAATATCACAGGATCTCACTTATATGTGGAATCTAATGAACAAAATAAACTGATGAACAAAATAGTTCCAGAGGCATGGATACATAGAAAGACTGGCAGAGGAGAGGAGAGTTGGGAGGGCTGAAAGAGATGAAACAAAGACATGTATGTGTGTCTGTATAGGCCATGGACACAGATAATAATGTGGTTTAGGCCTGGGTGGGGCAGGGGCTGGGTGGAAGGTGGGGAGGGGGTTAAAGGGGGCACCTGTAATATTTTCAACAGAAGGAAGGAAGGGAGGCAGGCCTCAAATATAGAATCTGTCAGTTTAGACTGACCTCTACTGGGTGAATTACGTTCAACAGTCTATGTGAAGTGAAGCTTGAGGGAAACACTTATGATTTCATGCTAAATACGGTGCAGGATAGCATTCCTGGTGTGGTTTGCAATGCAGCATAGAAAAAGCTGATTCGGTTCATGTGACCTCAGATGGGACTTTGCAATGTTAACAAACCAAACTTTCAAATTTAACTGTTGCCCATTCGATAAAATTACTCTCCTGCCAGCTGTCTCCAATCTAGCGCCTCTCTTTTACCTCCCTCCATTCCAGCCCGGTTAATTTATTCACAACCCACCCCCGCCTAGAAACTTACCATTTCCCCTCCCACTGTGCCTAGCTCACTGCTGGGGAAATTGTAGGTGCTCAATAAGCAACTCGATGGGTTAATCTCCTTCAGTCTATTTGATTTTAAACAGCTGTTTTATTATCCACCCAGAATGGGACAATAAAGCCATGGGGCATGAAAAAAAAAAAAAACACGTGAAGGCTTCTTTAACTATCTGCCTTAAGAAAAAGTTAGGTAGTGTACACCTGAGACTAATGTAATATTGTATGTTAACTGTGATTGAAAAATAAAAAACAATTAAAATTTTAAAAAAGTTAGGTATAATGCATCTTCCTCATAAAAAGAGAGCAAAAAGTTTTTCCTTATCTAATACAGTGGGTGCTTAAGAAATGTCTGAATGAGTAAATAAATATCTGCCTGGCTCATTACAATGTCTTTTGTACACATCTCTGATCACGTGCTTACTTTGCTAAAAATTCAGGGACTTCCACCCTCATTATATAACCCCTGCCTTTCAGTCCATTCTCATCTCCTGCCACTCTTGTACTTGAATTCCTATTACTGCATCTATAACTTTATTAAAATTGTTTGCTTAAAAGTCTGCCTTCTTTCCTAGACTGTGAGTAGGATCTGTGTTACTTATCTCCAACTCTAGAGCTAGCCGGGAGCCTAAGCAATAGTAGATGATCAAGAAATGTTTGTTCAAGTAAATCATCCCTTTCCTTTGCATTTTGAGTCTTTCCCTTCTAATCTTATTCACAGCGGGGAGAGTAACAGCGGTAAATTGTTAGATTTAGAAGGCTTCTCACAGATCATCTAATCAATTGCCCTCATTTCATAAATGCGGAAACCCAGGCCCATTCAGGATCACACAATCTGTTGGTCCTTATTCTAAAAGAATCAGACAATTGTAGGAAAGAAATTGCTCCAACGGAGGTTGAGCTATTTTGTTGTCCATTGTGTTCAGCAGCCTCAAGTTCCCAGAAACAAAAATGAATTCCCTTATCAGTCTTTGGAATTTCATAATCTTGTATTCCACACCCTGTGCGTCAGGGTCGATAAAACTGATTGTAGGAAAAACTGGGCTAAACTGGAAATTATTATTCTCAGTACTGTATATGGCTTCTTCCCCTAGTGCACACTTACACTGCTTTAGAAGGACTCATGTTGTGAGTCTGACTTGAAAACTGTAACTTGCCTGGAAAAGGGGGAAAGGCAAAAAATTAATCAAAATTTGAATTAAAGTTCTAAAGCTCCCTTTGTCTCAATGTAAATTCAGGCCCACATTTCCACAGTCCCTTCTCCTATATTAGCTCCTCTACTCCTGAATCAAATGTGTCTCCTTTTGTGCTAAGGGATGCTTATCTAACAGCTACATCATCTAGTAAAGGGAAACGTATTTTTCATTAAAGGGAAAGATACTGTAATCTGGTTAAGCAGAATAAAATTAAGAGGTTCTATCTTAATCACAGGAAAGTGATGTTCAGCTTGGTTGCCCATTTTTCTGTAAATTAGTACCATTGAGTTTTAGAGAATCCAGTAGATAGTGACAATTTATCAAATATGAAAGAGCTTGAAGAACACATGCCTTAAATGTAAAAAAACAGAAAAGAGAGTTAAAAAAAATTTCCTCAAAAAGATACTTTAAAACTAATTAATACCTAAATTTAACCTTTTCGAGAAGCAATTTATTAGAATTATATCAAGTAAAGAGAAGAGCAGCCTTCTTCCAAGAGCGCCCGGATAGCTCAGTCGGTAGAGCATCAGACTTTTAATCTGAGGGTCCAGGGTTCAAGTCCCTGTTCGGGCGTGTCATTTTAATATCCATGCTGAAGTGTATTTATACTTTAAGTGGAATTCGCTTCGTTTTTCAATGATTTCAGACTGTGATAGATGTTCTCAGGGGGAAAATGACCATGCGCAATCACTTCATTTCTTGGTGAGTATGGAGGTTTTGCGCAGTAGTTTCGCAGCGCAAAGGAGTTTGTTTTTTCAGATTACTAATCATCGAGAAAGAAAAAAACCAACCTAACAAAGACAGAAGTTAACGCAAAATGCGCCCGTTCAAAACAAGAAAGGGGGGGCGGAAATTAAAGGAGCCAAAAACGTAGCGCCCGAACAGGGACTTGAACCCTGGACCCTCAGATTAAAAGTCTGATGCTCTACCGACTGAGCTATCCGGGCCCTCACGTGGAGCTGAGGCTTTTGCAAACCCTTACAAAAAGCCAGGACTCTTGTGTAATCACGTCCTTCCGCCTGCGCTTGGTGACGCTTTTAAACACGCGAAAGCTGGGGATTCATGCGCCAAAGAAAAACTTAAGACCTAAATAAATCCTGCGCCTTTCTCCAGCATTACCAGCTCATTCAGAACGGCGAGATATTTGTGTCCTCAATAACCACCATTAGGTAAGGCAGGCTTCTTCGATTTGTACTCTCTAATAGGTCCAGGGTTGAGAGAACGGCGAGGTAGACTACGTTTGAAGCGTCGCAGGGATGTCTGGTCTATTATACTATTGATCATACTATTGATAGTCGGGTGGATATCAGTTCTCAAACCTTCCCGCTAACAGAAAAAAATCAATGAGCCGAAGAGAACACACATACGCTCTTCTGAAGCTGTCGGGTCGAGCTGTGTAAGATACAGCGGGAGATAGGACACTGATAGGAAGATTGTATTGTAAGTAATTTTACGCGAAGAAAACCTTGGGGTCAGAAGCCTTCTTAAGCCCGAGAGACTGGAAAGCCGAACATGCCCGACAGGGGATGTTATTGATCTTGGCATCGGAAGGCTGGTCTCGTCCACAGCCATCATCCCCCGAGCACTGCCCTCCGCAAAAGGGCTGGCGTTGGAAATTACCCACCGGGTCGCTCAGAGTGGGTCAAGCAAGGGTTTTTGTTAGCGGTTTCTTAATTCCTCTGCGATACAATATTAAAACTATAGCCACCATCCTGTATATAAGGCTTAACTTAATTGACTGGAATGGAGGGACATGTAGAGAATTTAGAAAGCTGGCGATATCGGGTTAATTCTGGGCAAAGGGAATAACGTTACCCCTAGATTTATTCCCCTCGTGCACATTAAAAACAATAGCAAGGACTACCTTAAGTGTTCTCTGTAAGAATCACATCACCAGGGCTAATCGTCTACCCAGAGCTAGTGGTAGAATGGGTTCTAAAATGGGCTGTGTGTATGGAATGCTGAGGCATCAAATTAATATTAGACTGCCTCCTCTCCCCGCCCCCCGCTCAAAACCCTTTGATTTTTCCCTATTATTTATTGAATAACAAGTGGAACTTTTCATAGCAGCATTCCAAATCCTCTCCAATCTGGCTCCAGCCTACATTCCACACCAGTGTTATTTAATACAAATTATAACGCAAACTACAGGTGTAATTTAACATTTTCTAGTAGCCACGTTAAAAAAAAAAAAAGAAACAGGTGAAGTTAAATATATTTTATTCAACCCAACATATCCAAAGTATCATTTGGGTGTGTAATCAACATAAAACTTCATCAATGAGATATTTCGCATTATTTTTTCCTACAAAGACTGATGTGTATTTCAATCGTGATGTGCACGTCTCCATTTGGACTAAGCACCTATCAGGCCACACGTAGCTAGCTGGTGGTGATTATATTGGACAGTGTGATTCATCACCGTGTCAATCGTCTACACAACATCCAACACAAATCAAAGCCGATCCTTCTCAGTTTTAAGACCGTGTCTTCGGATTCCTCATCCTGGGGAGCGGAGGGAGAGGCATTTTTCTGACAAGCGGAAGGATGCCCCTCGGCTTCTCCCCTCCCAGGTTTCTGACCTCCTAAGACGCGTCTGCAAATAGCACCAGACCTCGCGGCTTCGCTCCGGAGCCCTCAGGCTCCCCGCGGTCTAGGCCTCGCCACTCTGTCCCCCGGAAGAGGGTCTACTCTATGGTGGAGCGAGAACTCGTCCTCTCTAGCCCTCCAGCCCTCCAGCGGACCCTCTATCTATGGTCTCCCCGAGGCCTCGCCGGAAGCTCCTGCGCGAGGTGGGTGGGAAACCGGAAATTGCGCTCTCATTGGTCGCCACCCGGGTTTCAAATTGCGGCCGAGGCCTGAGCACCTCTGACTGACATCGTCTGGGCTTAGCGCGGGAGCGACTC